CACTAAATGAGTTACTAAAAAAGGAGCATAATTGAATTGGACAGAGGACTGTAAAAAGCATTTAAGGAAATAATACAAAAATTAACTTCGGAGTTATCATTGACACATTTCGATCCCGAACTCGAAATCATTATTGCAAGTGACGCGAGCTCACATCGGGTAGGTGCGTGTATTTTACACAAGATGCGGAACGGTACAAACAAACCCGTTGCACACGCATCTAGATCATAAGAGACAAAAATACTAACTCCCCCAAAAAGGGATCTAAGGAGGGGGGTGTTATGGGGTCCTCCCCTTTTCATATAAGTGGACTCTACCAGTGTTACTTGGAGTGCTGCCGTTAAATACCCAGAGTGAGACAGTCAGTGAGAGAGGATATACGGAGAGAGAGAGAGAGAGAGAATATACGAACGGAGATAGAGTGAGGGAACCTCGTGTAGAAGTCAGTTACAAGCACGTAGACTCTAAGGAAGTCCTACTTCGAGACTGTATATATCTATCTGTATTTGCTACTAACCGCGTTCCTGGACTTACTAACAGTATTACTCTTTGTATGATTGTGTAAATACACTTTATTTCTTATATTTAATTATTGCGTTTGTCATTCCTTGGAGACCGAATTCATCTCGGAATCCACAACAATTCCAAATTTGTAAAAATAGTAAAACCGATTTCATATGCTTTCTAAAGATTTTCTTTAATTTCTAGAAATAGTGAAAAATTTATATCCGTTCTATATAATTTGTGGGCTATCCCTACAAGGCTTTGTTAGTTTCGCCAAGACACCGTTAAGTGACGCTGTTAAATAAAAAACGGGACATTTCCTGTTTTCTCTCTTTTTTTTCCTTCTGTTAGGCGGTAGAAGTAATACTAGCAAGGAACCCTGTCCCTAGAATGGGCGTAACTTTCGCCGAGTGACTCACTGAACTTTTTCACATACACGCACACCTAAATATAATGTCTTTTTTTTCTTTTCATCCATATTTGCACGCATACTAATGCATTTTCTCTTCTTTGTTAACCAGTCAAATTTTATATAAAAACACATGAAAATATCGCCTTCTTGAAATTTAGTTCATTTCCTTTTACCTCTGCAGACAATGACGACCCGTCATTTAAATATGTAAATTTTGTTAGCCATGGATTTTAAGAACAGTATCGCAACATATGGTGCATATTCACAACAACTTTCTTTATACGTAAAACTGGCGAAAGGATGATGGAAACTTCTCGACTTGATCTAGGAAGTCTTCAAAAAAATAATCTGATGTTTAGTTATTGGCTCAAAGTTTGGGGATTGGGTCAAGTCGAGAAATTTCCAGCGCCTATCTGTATACAATAGAGCATGAATCATCCGAAAAAATAAAACAGCTTCAGTTTTTGATTTTAGTACAGATTTAAAACAGTGTCAGCAAAGAAAAGACTTTTAGAATAAGTAAATGAATATAAAAACAAAATGGCAGTAACTCTGTTTACATGAAATTGAAAAACAGTAGCTGCGGAAATAACTGATGATTTGCCGGAAGAGCTGCGTTCAAGCGGAAGTGATGAAAATAAAGATGGCTTTGATTCTTCCCAGGAAATTGATATGGATAAAATATCAGAGAAATTTGTACCTTGTCAGAGACGACTGACGTAGATTTTTAGTGAGAAAACTCAAATTGTAGACCAATTCCATAGTACAGTCGGTCCTCACTGCATGCCTCATTATTTTGGCCTTGTGTCAGACTAAGCTAAAACTAATAAATAACTATGTTTAGTAGAAAAAAAAGCGGTTGAAGTCTGTACTCAAATAAAAGACACGATTGCGAATGTCGATGAAAAGAAAACGGGACGCAATACAAATGTAGTTTAACAGAAGGATACTAAGATTGATTTAGGAGAGCTTAAGCAACTGAGAAATCTTAAATAAAAATCGAAACATGTATACTCCGATTCAAAAAGACAAAGCCGAAATTTTTTGGATATACAATAAGATTTTAACACTCACAGGACATATCGAAGGCCAAAGTGACAGGAGAAAGCTACGGATCATTTATCTTGTGTGAATGGATGAGACGAAGGGTTAGTAAAAGGAAAAAACATGATATAAAATTGTGGAGAGCCATTATCGATCACGTCCTGAAGGGACACGGCACATAGAAGTATGAAGGTGTCTGGATAATCGAAGGACTAATTTATAATTATGCTTCTTCGACACAGGACTTAGCATAAGTAAATGGTGTTCATCGATTTCTCAACACGTCTTAGCCACGTTCTCTTGATTCGAGATGTATATGAATAATGAATACTAAAGTGATTTTAGACATTTTGTGAGACGATGTCGCTATAGTGGCTGCAGCTGAAGATCAAAATTAATATTTAGTATTATACTTCTTAGTTGTAAGAGAAATCATATTGGATAATGGACGATGACAAAGTTTCACAATTTGATTAAACATTCTAAAGAATTATTTCACTCCCGTGTAATTTTTGGGGAATTTGTCTGTCACTTGTCGAAGTTGAATGTATTTTACACTTATTCGTTGTTAGCGTCAAAAAATATTCTCCAATATTCAAAATTCTTGACTTTTTCCTTATTTCTTTGTTTCATTCAACAAATTCCTTCATTGATATCCTCATTAAGTTTATCTTTATTCCCCTTTGTTTTCCTTCTTTAACCTCTCTTCCCCTTTTTCTTTTCTCTCTCCTTTCTCGTTCTTTTTCTTCTTTCTATATTATTCTCGTTCGACTTATAATCTGCTTCCTTTCTTTTTCTTTACTCTTCAGCTTTTTTAGATTTACTTTCTGTTTCTCTTTCTTTCTATCTCTATATATATATATATATATATATATATATATATATATATATATATATATATATATTTTGTCACTGAAATACTAGGGTTCACTGGAAAAAACGGACAAGCGTCACAAAGATGAACAAAACTGGCAAAAGTACGGATATGGAATATCCCTTAAGTTTGGAAACACTATTCCCGTTGATTTTAATAAAGGCTTCGGTGCGAAGACGGACACCTAAATAATGCCGGACGGTACAAGAACAGCTACCTTGCAGATCAGACTCCTGTGGGGATGCTTCCGCGATCGCTACGAACTTAATTTCAAGTCTTGAGCGAACTGTTACAACAACAACTACATTCCGTTATCGTCAACATTGAGTGACGTTTTTCAATATTGTTTCTATTTTTTATGCATATCTAGTTATTATGCATCTGTGTACAGTTAATTATATGAAAAGTATGCTTATTCATTAGTTGGAAATACAATAAATTCAAAATTTGTTTGTGTACGAATATTTGTTTCCCCCACTATATATATATATATATATATATATATATATATATGTGTGTGTGTGTGTGTGTGTGTGTGTGTGTATATATATATATATATATATATATATATATATATATATATATGCTTCTGCATATATATGCTTGCACAATGTCATATCACACCTCCTGGCATCTCGGCTTTAGTTTACCCGTACCGTAAATATTTTCACAGTAATTTTTGTGATGAGCTTTTGTTTCCTCGACTTCACAAATTTAAGTACAGTACTAGATTGGCATTTAGGTTTCATAATTTCACTGTTGAATTTGCTAGTTGTAACCGTAAGTTCTATGCGAATAGTTTCCTCTTCCGGCTTCCTCGTCACTCAAGTGCCGTGATAAACGCTTATGCGATCATGTCTCTTTCGATTCATGACTGACTAGGTAGAGATTATTCTGCTCTAGGACCCAGCCTGTCCTCATATTCAATCCATAGTTGAGAGAAGAAGAGATGGATTCATATCTTTCTCATGGGTATTTGCGCGCATGTGAATGCAACGAACCCGACTGGAATTCGAACCTGGCTCTCCGATTTTTCGTTCTGAGCCGATAGCCATTACATCACAAGTCCTATCCAAACTACGATCTTCAAATACAATATCAGTCGTCATCTTCTGTCCCCTTGAATACTATTCTTTTATTGTCCTCTCCTTTTCTTTCACTCTCAGTAAACCCTTGAATCTTAGTGGCTTTATTGCCTTGTTCCAGGTGAAAAGAGTAAAATAAAAATAAAAATAGATTGACAGACCAAAGTAAGATGTTTTGTTCAGCTATGATTGCATTTATTACATCAGCGTCCTCTTAGAAGGATAGAAAAAGGAATGTCTCACTTCTATATCTTTTCAACCTACAGTAAGCTAAGCCACCTTCCACATCAGTTTTTCAGATAAAAAATATTACGCTTGCCAAAATTAACAAATGACTTTGATAAATTGTAGAATTTTATTTCCCAACACTTGTTTGTTTTTTGTTGTTGTTTTTATCGTATATTTATCGCAAATGATAGTTTTTCGCCTTACAGCAAAATGGCTACCGACTGTCCTTTACGAATCTTCATTGGTTGCCAGAACATTGTAATCTCTTACCAAGATAAATCTTAATCTTGATATTTTTCTTTCGCTATCTCTCTCTATATTCTATATTCTCCTTCTCACATTGCTAATCTTCTACCGTCTCTCTCTCTTTCTCTCTCCACTCCCCAATATCCCAGTTTGCTCTCCTCACGATTCTTCGCTTTTCATTACATCCCAGTTGAAACATCTTTTTTTCAAAAGCTTTTCCTTCGATCTTACTGTTTTTATTACTCTTTTTAACCTTTTTAATTCCTGACTTATACCTCTCTCTGTTTTTATTTTATTTCTAGCCTCCTGGTTCATTAATCTTCCTCTTCCTTTCTCTCTCTCCTTCTCCGTCTTTATTTGTCTTCACCTTACTCCTCCTACTTTTTTCTATGCCTCCTACTCTGTTCCGTCCAACCAATCGATCCATTTTTATCACGACACAAGATCGGCCGGTTCTCTGTCGTTTTCATTAAAACAGCCGATCTTTTATAGAGTGATCAAAGCGAGAAGAGGCCGATAGAGAAATAAGGTATTTAGATAATGGGAAAAGGCGGGCGATGGCCAATACAGAAACGAATGAATAAGATCAAAAGTGAATAATACAGGCTTAAGATGTCTTTTGATTAGTTGAAAGTCTTTTCAAGTCTGACCGAGAAGAAAAGAAGTTGCGAGAAGAGAAAATGAGTGAAATAAAAGAAAAAATGGCGGTTTTTATGAAAATGGAAAAGAAAGCCGTAAAAAGTGAAAGAGAGAGAGAAAAGGGAGTGAAAAAGGGTAAACGAAAAAAGCAAGGAAGGGAAGAAATAAAGAAAAGCAAGGAGTAAAAAGAAACGAAAAAAGCGAGATTAAAGAAGAAGAGAAAGTAGGAGAATAATTTAAAAAAAGGAAAACAAAAATGAAGGGAATAGACGAAAAAAATGAAAAGGAAGAAAGAAAAAGAAAATAAAGAAGAGAGAGAAAAAAGACGAAGAAAAGCAAAGGAAATAATTAAAAAAACTAGAGGAATGGAGAAAGAAAGAGAAAAGAGTAAGGAGAGAAAAAAGAAAAGAATTGAAAGTGACAAGGAAAGAAAAAGATAGGAAGAGAAAGAAAGAAGGAAAGAAAGAATTCGAAAAAGAAAGAAAAATGATTAAAAGATGTACAAAGAGAGGATGAAATAAGAGAACTGTGAAATTGATGAAAAAAGTAGATGACTGTAAAGAGGGTAGAGATTTGAAGATGAAAACCGAGTGACTAAACGAAACGTACCGGAAATGTATGAAAGAAAATGAGGGGGGAAAAGGAAAGTAAATTAGAAAGGTACATTGGAAAGGTGGGATCAGTTGTGAAAAGGTGGGATCAGTTGTGAAAAAGAACGGTGACAGAAAACGAAGAGAAAATACGGAAAAAGCGAAGAGAGAAAAGGAAAGAGAAGCGATTCGACAAGGAGTAAGAATGAAAAGAATTTAGAAAACAGTTGAGAAGATGGTGTGAAAAATAGATGAATGGGAAGAGAGGTAAAGAAGCGAGGTATCGGCTAAAAAGAGACATAACCAAACTGAAAAGGCATATTACAAAGAAAGAAAGAAAGAAAGAAGAGGAAAAACAAGCAACGAGAAAGGAAACAAAAAGAAAGAAACGTGAAAATGAATAAAAACGTGGAAAACCTAAGGGGGAAAAGGAAAGTAAGAAAAAGACAAGTAAAGAAAGAAGGAAAAAAATAAAAGTACGTTACACGTCGTTTTGTGCTCACTAGGTTGTAAGAGCCATATACAAACATACATTATATATGCACACACACAAGCAAACATATTTATTATATATATATATATATATATATATATATATATATATATATGTATATATATATGGCATTTATATAATAAATATATTAGATATAATTATTTTGTGTGTATACACACACACACACACACACACACACACACACACATATATATATATATATATATAGCCGGCGGCAACAACAAAGACGACAATGATGATGATGTCGATGATGACGATATCATGAAATGGAAAAAGATGAGATGAAAGCATATAAAGGTCATTGGAAGAAATTGATGATAGAGAAGAGGAGAAAGAAGAAATTGATGATAGAGAAGAGGAGAAAGAAGAAATTGATGATAGAAAAAAATAAGAAAAAACAAATTATCGACAGATCAGAAAGAAAACAAAACGAAAAACATTAACAATAACTGAAGTGATTACAAAGACAAAAAAACAGAAGAAATCAGTGACTACAAACTATTAACAACACCCCACCCCATCCCCGAGATTCGATGGCGTATATAATAATTTATTTCATTAGAAAAAAAAAACGCATCATCAATTTCATTCCAGTTCTTTTATGATTAACGAATGAAAAAATGGTAATAAAATATTTTCTGCAAAATTAAAGATGAAAACAGTTGCAAAAATTATTTTTTTACAATGATGTTCACACTGTACAAGGCTCAAGAGTACCTCTAGGTAGAAGCTTACGGGTAAGAGGCCCAGTTTATGCGGATATATGGGAAAGATAACAGCTAATCCTAGACTTGAACAGGTTTAGTTTGTAGTGATCGAGGAAGAATCCTCTTGGGAGTCTCGGTTCCACAAAGCAGTGATTCGTGGAAAGAATCTGTTCGAGTGGAACTTACGTCTCACCAAATGGAATACGAAAAGGAGGGAATGGAGTTTGTTGGCTACAATGGACGGGACATGGATTGGTCTTAGCCGTGAAGGTTAGAACTCGTGGAACTAAGAAATGTAGTTCGTCTGAACCCTTTTCATGGAAAAACAGGGATAGACAAGCGAGAGGTTCGCGACGTTTCGTCTCTGGGAAAGGGGTTGGAGGGTGGAAAATAATTCATCACCCACAAGAACGCGAAGACGCTTTTTAACTCTATCGAGACAGGAAATTGTAAACTGGACAGCATTATACTATGTTCGGCTTGATCTGGCTCTTGTAAAGGTAAAGCATATCAAGAGGAGTCAGGTAGTTACTAATGTGTGGTGTACAGGATTGAGTTTAAGTCGCTATAGGCGCTCAAAGGGAACATCCGTTCATCGCGTCATTGGTCAAAGTTCTAGCTCTAATCGGTGATTATGGAATGCTACTAGTTTGGTTTTCAAGACATTGAAATGTGACCAACCAGCTCTCCATCCTTTTGCTGAGCCGTTAGAGCTAGATCAGTCGAGAGATCAGGTGTCAAGCTCTGGGCATATAGAGTTCTGAAGATGCAGCCATACACCGTTAGATCATCAGTATAGATATTCACAAATGATCTGAGTATATTCTTAAGCAGATCCTTTATGTCAAGAACTACCTTAAGGGACCTTACCCATTAGGAAGAACTTTATAATTGAGAAAATTGTCTTTAATGTTGAGAATACATATGTGAATCTCACCTTGAAACCATCAATTTTCCAAATGTCGTTTAACGAATCAATCAAAATAGATTGTGTAGCTGCAATCGCTTCGCAAAATGCCAGTTTTCGCCGGGAAATTTGATATTAAATTCAAACCAACGTACAGTCAACGACGAAATTATTCGTACACCCATCAATTATGAATATTTTTATCCATTTCTCAGAATCTAATAACCGTATGATGCCAGGTATTTTTTAGATGTTAATAAGCACAAAAAAGGAATATAAAACTCAATTTTCAGATCAATAGGAACTTTGATAAGGGTATTACGCAAAATAGAAAAAGAGAAAATTTTTCGTACACTATGAAAAATAGAAAAAGACTGAACAATTTTTACAATATTAATAGCATGGCCTCTCATCTTGATGGGTGTACAAATAATTTCGTCGTTGACTGTAGTTTTAGTCAGAAAAGATGGAGGCTCTTCTAATGAGAAAATTCTCTGACATCACACAGTTTGGGTGTGCGTTGAAGACAATTGCCCGACAAAGGTCTTCAGAAAAAGACATAGGTGTTGACCATAATAAAATAGTTACCTTAGGCAATCCTATGAGAAGTACAAGTCCTACAAGGATTTAGTATTTGGGGAGCACACTCTTGACAACACTAAATAGGCAGATGGCACCGTGTTAAGTGCAGACGCAGACAAAAACTCCAGGAATTTTTTGACAATGTTAAGTGAAAGCGTGTAGAAAGAACTAACCCTCGACTGTGAGAAGACAAAATATATGACTGCCAGCAAAAACAAAAACCCAAGATACGAACTGTGAATTGTAGATGACAAAAAATACAGAAGTTTAAATATCTGGGCTGAAGGAAAATATGACACCGAAAGCACATTGCAATAGTGGAAAATGATTTCCAAAAGCTAAGCAAAGTATAAAGAAACAGGAAAATTTCATTAGAAACAAAGAAAAGAGTGCTAAACTCTTTTATATGGCAGTGAAGAAGGCTTGGAAATTTAGGCACTCACTGAACATGTTAAAGACACGGGTTAAACGCGAGTAACTTACTTAACGGGCTTGTGTAAATGAGTGGCAGAACAGGGGATGGGAGGGATATTAAAAAGACGAACTTTTCTAAGATCTACAAACGATAGGTAGTCGTGGGGAGTCATGATCGCTCATTTCCTGAGGGTGCACCGTACATAAAAGAAGAATTGCTTCCCATGAAATAAAGAAAATGCTTCCAGATAATATCAAAATTAGTAAAGAGTGCAGAACAACCCAAAATGCGTTGGGGTCTATCGCAGTGAAATCAATGGAGAAGAGTGAAATAAAACACTTCAAATATACCTGAGTGTATGGATCAGTTATAACAAATTTAATCTAGGAGATAAGGAGATTAAACATAGAATAGGTTGGGCTAGAATTAGCATTTTACAACACCACTAAATCAAAACATTAACCTAAGAACTCGAATCATGTTTTTGAATAACCTCGTCAGTTCAAGACTTTCATGTGGATGCCATATATAGCACCAAACACGATTAGAAATATATAACCATTTTCTCAGATCAATGATTAAAATGGTTTCAAGTGAATATAGCCTGTGGGTGTTAAAGAAGACTAGCCTTGATCATATCTCACAGACTGGCGCTACAGAATCACAACGTTCTTTATCAAATAGCAGAAAGTACATCTACTTGAAGATTTCCAACAGGAGCAACTGCTGAAATGGTTAGTACATGTTACTGGAAGAAAAAAATAATGACATAATCCTTATGTGAGCTTTCCACACTACTTTAAGCAAAAGTTCGGGAAGGAAACCGTTTTAAAACCAAGATTTGATTTATTTCAAACGATAGTAATTGCTAACTATTGGTTCAATAAGGCAGGTCCATTTTGGAATCGTGACATTTCACTCAGTTTGAAAATTAAGGTCTGACATCGTAAATAATAACACAAACTCGTTACTGATTTTTGAGGAAACAAGTTTAGATTTAAAATCGTAACGCTGGAATTTCATTCCGCTGATCAGTGAAGGCCCTATAAAACAGCCTTATACAATTTATAATTTCCTGAAGCTTTATAAATTGTATTTAGACAAGAAGCATGCCACAAGCACATTATTACTAAATCATCGTGCCATTAAATAAGACCTTCATTTATTTCAAAAGTAAATTATACTGAATAATTTAGATATATTATCATGTAACTTAGTATAGAGTGCAGTAGTTTTAGTGCCATTTTCAATAAACAATGCAAATTTAGAAATATTTCTTTTTAGAAAATCTTGGTAAATATGTTTTTACATTTCTTACCCATAAACCACTTATATTTAATTTTATGAAATTCATTTTTGTTTTGCTTAATTTTTATATTAGTTATAAGCACAAGTAATTTAAATCACCAAATTTCTTTTTTGTTGTTTTTGTCAAACAGGAACCCCAGTTACAGAATTTCTGCTCTGAATCGTAAAATAAAAATGCAATAAAACTAAGATATTATTTAATTAGAAAACTTTTAATTGCTTTTATGAATAAAATATATTATGGACAATATTGTCTTAAAAAATCGATGAATAATGAATTTTTACAAGAATTGTTTTCATTTTTTTTAATTATAATAATTTATACTTCTAAATCTTTTAAAATTGTGTTCATTTGTAAAGGTTAAGTAATATTGTTATTAAGTAAAAACTATATTTACTAATCATAAATGGAAAAGCTTACTATTCAGCGACTCCTATAATACGGATGTCCATACACGACATTATCAGAAAATAAGAGCGGTAACTATATTAGAATGTTTAAAACATTTAAAATTTTTTAAAGTTATTGGTTAGTTAAAATTATCTAAAAAGGTGTTCACGTTGTATACGTTATGGAATTTCAACGTTACCTTAATCTCGCAACTGTCAGGATAAAATGTGTGTCAACACTTCATAAAAAAAGAAAAACATCCATCTCAATGGTAAAATATTTCTGCAGCAATTTAAGCATAAAGTAATTAATATTTGTTTTAATTCAAATTTAATTTAAAATTTAAATCAGTTAATATTCCTCAAATAAAGTTTCAGATAAGTATGTTTTCTTTTTGAATGTTTTTTTTTAATAAAGTGGATTAAGCTGTGTTGACAGATTTACCAATATGTCCGATTTTAGCGATTTCAAATAAAACAAATACTTCCAATCAAATTAAATTCAGTTTGAAATACAGCAAAGTATTTTGCTTATTGGAAATATTAAATTTTATCTATTGGCTTGCAATTAAAACTAAAATTAAAGATTCAAGAAATATTTTTCATTTTTGAAATGCATTTTTAACCTTAGATATCGCTTTATTTTTTTTCATTTTTTGAGGTACCTTTTTATAAGCATAGCCACAAAAATATTTTCAACAATAAACCGGGAATAAAATGCGAAACTCTTTTCTCCATCACAAAAGTAACTACTTCCGTAAAAAAATCTTTATGACCACTCATAATTTTTGGCAAACCAATAGTTTAGACTTATTCGAAGAGCATACGCCTAAGGAAAGAAATTCTATGCTCAAAAATTGACCAAAGTTAATCTGCAGGTTCGTCTAATACTGGAGTTTTTACGGCAAGACTTTATAGCAATTTATGAGAATGTCATTAAAACACCTAAGGACACATGATTCATTTCTTTCTTGACAATGATTTGAAAAAAATAAAATGAAATAAAATAAATTAATAATTAAATAAAATTTTTTTAATAAATCAGATCAGATTGTGTTATGATGAGTCATAAATAATTTCTGTTTTTGTTCATCAACTTTATTTTTCATAAAAATAAAGTTCAATCATATTTTATTCAATTCAATATTCAGTGTTATTTGCATTGACCTGCTGTCAATTATCAAACAGTTCTTTGAGAAGTTTTAAGTCAAATTCAGAAGTTTTTGATGTGTAAAAGCTTTCAACGAACTCTTGAATCTGGTTCTCATTAAAGAAAGTTTTCCTCCATCAAAAGGTCATGATCGATTAGTGCAAAGGTCAGGTGGATATAGAGGCTCTTCCAAATTTGTTTTTTGTATCATTCTTACTGTCTACGGCTTTTTATGTTGTCATAGAGAAAACATTTTTCCTATTGGCGAGAGAAGCACACTTTTCGACCAAACTATTTATGGTCACGCTACAGCGGTTGGACGTATAAATGGGAATGTTGTGTTTCTTTGCGTCTTAAGAACTCCAAAGGAATACTACCCCTAGCGTCTCGATCACATGCCAGTAGTGTGCAGAAGGGGGGAGGTCAGAAGGTGCAACGGCCCCGGGCTTCCATATCGGGAGAGCATTCAATCAAAGAGGGAAATAAAAATTTATTTTATATTTAATTTGAATAAAGTGTTTACTTCCTGTTTCATTTGTTTTGACATATTTAAAATGTCTTCCATTCTCACGTTTCTCTGTACTCGACCTTATAGCCCCCACCCCCCCACTTGTGTCTTGGGGGGTGGTATACAATCAAGGAGTTGTCCCCTGGTATCTCCAAACCTCTGCTCGTTACTCCCGCACGCACAACTTTACCTTTTCCTCCATGTTGCTTAGCTTTTGACGTTATGGAGATTTTATCATTATCAATTCACGGCCTTTTGGATTGTTGATCATTGCCGTTGATCAGTGTGTACTACAAATATATTCTTAACTGCAAAATATGGTTAGGAGTTACACCATATATATATATATATATATATATACTCTTACGGTAGCAGTTTATAGGATACAAAATCCTACTGTAAACAGTTTGAAAAATCCTGCGAATTCTAAAATTAAAATTCGTAGGTGAAAATGGTCATTAACTAAAGGTATCTTAATTCCTATTGTAAGGAAAATTTTGCTCTGTTTAAACATTGAGCGATCTCCTTATGTCAGTTTTAACATATTTCAAATACTGTTTTATGTTAAATAGGATTCGCTTGGATTATTCCAACGGATTACTATATATATATATATATATATATATATATATATATATATATATATATATATATATATCGATACAGTTAGAATTTATTGCGTATTTTAACAAGTGCTGTTGTTAGCGTGTTGTTATTGAAAGCACATTAAGAGTAAATTCGATTCTGTTTTATAACTGTTGCTATGATTTCGCATCGTCCATATCAACCCTAAATATTTGTCCCATGATTTTGAACTTATTTTGAATTAATAGACTGTCTGCTAAAAGAAAACGCAATTTTAGATAATTTTAAACCTTTTTTATTTTTTATTTTTTTTGTTGAGTGGAGTTTCTTATAGTATCTTAAGCTCGTCGTTCTACTTGTCTAACTGTTGAGTCGAGTCTAAAATTGTCTAATAAGCTATTACATTAACGATAACAAAGTTTGTTGTGGTAGTGTAAATATGGCTGCGGCTTTGCTTATAGCAGAAAATCTGTACACTTCAAGATCTCTTCGTTGCGATTTTGTCTCATTGATGTTTTATTAAAGGCGGTAAAGAATCCGGTGTCGAGGACGTGACTGGATGTGATGGCTAATGTCATTTCTCTCTTTCTTGCTTTTCATTATGCGACAAAGAATGACCGGCAAGAAAATGGAAATATTGGGGTTGCAGTTGGCGTAGATATGGGCGAAATACATTTGAAAGCAAAAGTAAATCAAAAACGGTAAGAAGAAGAAGAAGAAGAAGAAGAAGAAGAAATGTGTGGTAGTAATATAAATGGTAAGTGAAAGAAAGAAAGGAGAAGATGGAACGAACAAGAAGAAGAAGAAAGGAGGAGGAGGATGTGGCTGTGGTAGTAATATAAATGGTAAGTGAAAGAAAGAGAGAAGAAGATGGAATGGAAAAAAGAGAGAAAGAAGAAGGGGGAGGGGTAGAAGGTGGTTTTAGTAATAAAAATAGTAAGTGAAAGAAAGAATCTCACAAGAAAAGACGACGGAAGAAGAAATAAAAAGTAGTGAAAGATTTAGAAAGGAAAAACGAAAGACACAAGAAGATTAAATGAAAAAGAAAGAGAAGTGAAGGAAAAAAACAAGATTGTAGTAACATAAATTATAAATGAAATATAGTAGAAAGAAAGAAAGAAAGAAAGAAAGAAAGAAAGAAAGAAAGAAAATAATGAGATGTAACGAAAAACTAAACATACAAAAATGGCAAAAGAAAAAGAAAATTAAAAATATAAAAGTACTCCATTTTTTGGTCTGGACTATGGCAGTTGGCAGTCGTAGTCAGATACTTAGAATAAACCAACCATTTCCCCAGATCCATTAGCAATATATCGGATATATAAATTCCACTTGGAAACTGGGAAGAGTTTGCTTCTCAATAGGCGTTCAAGATAAGGAGCCTCTTTTCAGAGGAGAATCATCCATCATGATTGGTGGCAATTCTGGGTCTGTTCGGTAGTCATGGAACGTAACAAGTTTGATTTTGGACGTATTCGATTTTACAAGCCAGTCCGCTTCGTTCATAGAGACAAATGTTCTGAGTCAGATGAAAGATAAAACGCTACATTTTGGTATTCCATATCTTTGGAGGTGTGCACCTGTAAACTGTTGTATTATTCTCATAGACAAAAAAAACCCAATGATCGGACTTATGGTCTTTTACATATGATTAAAATACTGAAGAAAGTGGGTAGGGCAGAGAAGAGAACCCTATGGAAAGCCGACATTGATCTTAAGCGCTTCTGAAGACTAGCCATTAGCAATCACATTCTGTGATCTAAACTTTTTAGGAACAACTTGACAATTGAGTGAACACTTCCAGAGATTCCATAGCTGAAGAGTTTATTTAGTAATTCCCAATGTCTCACCTGTCAAAGATTTTGAATATATTTAGTACATCCCAATGATTCACCTTGTCAAAGGCGTTGAATGTATTTAGTAACTCCCAATGTCTCACCATGTAAAAGGCGTTGGATATATTTAGTAAATCCCAATGTCCCACCTTGTCAAAGGCGTTGGATATATTTAGTAAATCCCAATGTCTTACCTTGTCAAAGGTGATGGACATAATTAGTAAATCCCAATGTCTCACCTTGTCAAAAGCGTGGAATATATTTAGTAAATCCCAATGTTTCGCCTTCTGAATTTCGTTGGATATATTTAGTAAATCCGAATGTCTCACCTTGTCAAAGGCGTTGGGGATATTTAGTCCATCTCAATGTCTCACTTTGTCAAAGAAGTTGAATATATTTAGTAAATCCCAATGTCCACCCTGTCAAAGGCGTTGGATATATTTAGTAAATCCCAATATCTCACCTTGTCAAATGCGTTGGATATATTTAGTAAATCCCAATTTCTTAACTTGTCAAAGGCGTTGGATATATTTAGTAAATCCCAATGTCTCGCCTTGTGAAATGCATTGGATATGTTTAGTCCATCCCACTGTCCCACCTTCTTAAAGGTGTTGCATATATTTAGTAAATCCGAATGTCTCACCTTGTCAAAGGCGTGGGATATATTTAGTATATCCCAATGTCTCACCTTGTCAAAGACGATGGATATATTTCGGATAATGTTAGATTTCGAATTCTAAATTGATTTTTTTGTTTTAGTGTGCAAAAGTGACGTAAAACAACCTTTTTAATCCTATTATCTTTTCAATCCTTATATCTTCTTAATCCTTATATCTTGCTATCATTTAGTCTTGTGCCACACTGATTTATTTCTAAATAACTTAGCTCTTTGCTGATTCTCGAACCGGCAGCCGATAGCCGTGTTCGAATCCAGATAAAGTTTAATATTTCTGAAAGCGAAGACAGACGCCTTTCCTGCTTGTAAAAATTTGCAAAACTATATTCTTAATCCTATTTATCTGGCCTCTTTCTTTTAATTTACCTTGTGCCAGTCTTAATTTCTTTCTCCACGGTTAAATTGTATCGCCCCTATAAAGCATAGTGCAACATCACTTGTGTTGCGACTGTGGTTTTAGTAGCAAGTGGGGTTTTTACTGGGTAGATTTGCCAGCCACCTACACAACTGATTTCGAATTCAGTGACGTTCATCTTCTATAGCAGGGGTTCTCAGCCTTGGATTGCTCCATTCACCCCTTCACCATTTTGTCAGAATGTCATTCCTCCCTCCTTTTCAAGGTGACAGGACAGATTGGCCAAATTCTATAAATTCTCTCCCCTTCCCGCTCCTAAACATACTGTGGTCACAATTCATCGTTGCAAATCCAAAATTTTACTCCTGTCTAGACTGAGAACCCTTGTCTAGACTGATTATCGCCAAAGGATAGAGAGTTCCAGTCTTCCCTGCTATTTAACCCATACCTGAGTGGAAAAAAGATGGGTTCATGTATGAAAGTGAACGCAATTAACTAGGTCGGAATTTTAACTCGGCACATCGATTGAATTTCCATGTCGACAATCAGTTTGAGTTTCGTTAAATGTTAAGAGTCTGCTCTGTAGTTGTCGGAATGGCGATTTTCAAGGAAATTATGCATTCTCTTCTTGGAGGATTGTAGCAGAGTTTCCTTTCGTTAGCCTGTGTGCCGTATTGAGCTGATTAGTAAATGTAAGAGAATAAAGTAAAAAAGAGGAAAAGAAAAAAAGAATGAACAACATATTAAGAAAATAAATATCTGGAGAGAGCAGGAAACAAAAGACGATGAAGAACAGAAACGCGTGGGAAAAAGGAAAAGATGAATGATAGGGAGGGGAGATAACTCGACTGGGACAAAGACTTACGTTTGATAGCAAGAATCTTTATAACTGATTGCCTGACATAACGTGAGACGCTTAAAGAGATAGCAAGAGCAAATAAATTGTTAAGAAAAGGAGGAAAAAATAAAATAAAAAGGAGGAAAATAAGTAATTAAGAGAGAGAAATAGAAAACAAAAGAAAAAAGTGGGGAAAACCAAAAATAGGGAAAGTAAAGAAAAAGAGAAAAGGAATATAAAAGAAAAAAAGAAGGTAAGAAAGAGAAATGTGATGATTAAAATAGAAAAATACAGAAAGAAAGAAAGATAAAGGAAGATTAACGAAGGAGGAATGAGGCGTCGTTAAAATAGTAATATTTGGAAAAGGGGGAAGGGCGAAAGAACGAAAACACGTCGGTTGAATTAAAAAAAAAAAAAAGAAATTTAGGTGAAAAAAAAAGAGATAAGAAAATAAGAACCTATCAGAGAAAGAATGAAAGAAGGAAATTAAAAATGAGATATAAATAAAAAAGAGAAATAAAAAATGCTAGATAGTGAATGATGGAAATGAAGACCAAGATTGTACAGGTGAAAGAAAGAAAGAAAGAAAGAAAGAAAGAAAGAAAGAAAGAAAGAAAAAGAAAGAAAAGAGAAATGAAAGGAACTGAAAATGAGATATAGATGAAAGAGAGAAATAAAGAATGTTAGTTAGTGAATGACGGAAAGAAAGACCAAGGGAATAAAAGAAGGTCGGAAGGATATGCAAAAAGAAAGAAAGAAATAAAGAAAGAAAGAAAGAAATAAAGAAAAAAAAAAGGGAAGATACGCCACGCTTCATTATTAGTGCTCACTGGATCGTAAAAGACGCCTGCACCCGAATATGTGTACGCACGCACACACACACAAAATTCATATATATATATATATATATATATATATATATATATATATATATATATATATACAGTACAATGTATATGCCTAATAAAGTAAAGATGTATGTATGCATGCAAGAGAGGGAAATAGTTGGTAAGAAAGATCAAAGCCATAACAAAACTAAGTGTAACCGACTCGTACATTAATCAAAACCGGCAAAGGAATGCTTTCTCGGCAAATCTGCTGTGTCATTATGATAGACGGGACGCTTTAAGAGGCTAATACCGTGTAATGACGCTAAGCAAGCCATAAAAGATAAATAAGTGGTCGCCCAAAACTGCTGAAAATTTTGCAATGGGCAGGTCGTCGTCATCATGTCATTCCTTATTTCTCATAATGTCCTTAATATGAGATCTTAATAATAAACTTCGTCCATCACTTACGCAATTACTTATATAACAGAAACAGACTGGTGGACAGACTTCCCTCTGCTTCCGTATGAATATTTTTAATCATTCCCCCCCTCCCCAATTAAGGCAATAAAGCCATTAAGACATAGGGGGAGGGGTTACCGAGATTGAGAGAATGTGAGAAAAAGAAAACATTATTAAAGAAAGAACATCTAGCCGTTTCAACACTAATATGATGAGACATTGCCACTAAATAGTACGACGCTAAAATTTCTAGGTTCTATGTACTTATAGAGCAAAGGTCCATAACTACGGGGCCGAGGACCCGTACCGGTTCGTGGATCATTTGCTACCGGGCCGCAAAGAAATAATTAACTTGTTTAAAATTCAATAATAGATCAATTGAATATCGGTCTTTAATTGCCATCATCATCATCATATCTTTGCAAAACAGGGTTTTCTTCAGGGACAATAACCAAAACAAAACTACGTAGTAGATTAGACATAAGGAACACACTTCAAGTGTCATTGTCTCCCATCAATCCCAGATGGAGCCGTCTATTTGCTGGAAATAAAATCAAGGCTCCAAGTGATTCTAGATTATGGCGATTTGATATTGATGCGATAATAGTGTAATAGGGATTGGTTCAGGGAAACTAATCACGCAAGGCTGTGGTCGGGCTGGGATACAGATACGAGAGTTAAAAGATTATGCACTTTTTCTTACCTTTAATAAATTGCTCTTTTTATTATTGATCTCTTTATCGAAATGCACTTCAGTTACACATATGTGTCACTACTTGTTTCGCGAAAAGATCGTCCGATAAAGCCAGTCCGTGGCATAAAAAGTTGAAGACCATTAATATAGAAGAAATACTTAATTGAAATCAAAATAAATAAATTGCACTATTTACTATTTTTCAAAAATGTTGATAGTCTGAACCTTGAATCAAAACAGAGCTGACTGATTCATTTTTGTACGAATGTACAATGGTGACATAAATGATTGTTCATATTAGGCATTTCAACTAGCTGAAGTGTAACTGCCAAGCTCCTCAGACGAAACGAAAAATAAAAGTCAAAGGAAATGGAAATCTGTTAGATTTGATTTTTGATTTTTTTTTTTTTGCTTTTTACTGTTAGTTCATCTAATACAAGGCTCATGAGCCACTCAAGGTAGACGGCTTCTAAATGATATTGTAGTAATGGAGGTGGATGGAGGAATTAAGAACTGCATATTATGAGGACGTGTAGGGTGTGCAGAATAGATAACTCTGGTTTGAAAGAGACCAAAATTTTATTTGTTGGGAAGCATCTTCTCGGGAGTCTGTTCAACAAAGCGTCAGTCCTGAGGAAGAAGCTGCTTGACCAAAACTTGCTCCTTATCAAAGGAAAATGAAGGGAAGGACGATGCTTTGAGTTCTCACCCACATACACACTTCATGGACACGGCATTGTGAGGGGTCCTGGCTGTGAAGGCCTGAACTGGTGAAACTAAGGAAAGTAAGTCGTCCGAACATCTGCCATAGCAATAGCGATAGAGTATTAGAGGCTAGTATCTCTCCCCAGAGTTGCCATCTTCACTCTTACTTCTCTTTCCTTTTTGCTTCACTTTCTACCTCTCTGTCTCTCTGTCTCTTTCTTCACTATCTTCAGGTTCGTCCACTCTTTTTCTTCCCTTCGCTGTTTTTAGTTTTTCTTCTTATTTACTACCCACTTTTATGTGCTCCATCTTTCTAATTTGTTACTTTTTCCCTTGCCTTCTGGCCCTCCCAACCTCTTTCTATTTTTACTTTTGTTCTTTTTTTCCCATTTCTTTAAATCAATATTCTCAAGCGAGATCTATATGGAACCCGGGGGTTCATGTTACATTACTGACACACAAAAAAAAAAAATAGCAAATTGAGGGGACCACAATAATATTTTAGTTGTCCATAGAGCAATTCTACTTCGGAACGGTTGTTACAACTGAGAACTGGAATTTCTACAGTAATCTACGACATATTAAAATACTCAAAATAGAAAAACAACTCTAAGACTATCAGAAAACGAGATCAAGCGATGTAATTTACTCTACCGGATGTTTTCATCATAAAAGTTGAATAAAAACTGAATAAAAACCAAAGGGTTATATATGGAAAGGAGAATTATATAAAGTTTATGTTGTGGAGTAAATAACACTACTTCGGGGACACAAATGAACTCGGCAAGACGCCTTAAATAAAGAACGCTAAGTGAGTCAGATAAGATCGTCGCAGTCAGTCCTAGGCTCGCGACAAGACAAGAACTCTGACTTCGAGCAGAGGATGATAAAACCTCCACCATCGGACAGAGGATGAGTGTTGGGGCTCTGTCTTCAGAGATTTGGTTGAGAAAACAGACAGGTTTGAGTCAGGCAGTTCGCTGTCTGGCTTTTTACTGACAAAATCTCCGACTTCGGACCAAGGTTAACTCAATCGAGGTTCTGTCTTTGAATAGATACTCGGCTGAGAAAAAACAGACCAGTACTGTACCCGTGCCCGCTTTTTCGGAGACTAGGTAAATTTTGACCATTGACCCGGGTAGAAACGTTCGGGTTCCCCACGGTAAACTTGACTTTGTGTCGCATTTAGTCCGCAGTAGGGCTACTGGTATATACTGTCCATCGCAGTCAGTTCCTGGCTCGCAACAAGACAAATATCTCTGTTTTCGGGCAGAGGGTTACAAGATCTCTGTCTTCGGGCAGAGTACGACACAGTCGGGGCTCTGTCTACGGTTAGATATTCGGCTGAGAAAAATAGACAATGCAAAGTGCTCGATCCCGCGGTTGTGGGGTCTGGGTAAATTTAAACATTTGAACCGAGTATACGTTCTTGGGTTCCCCACACTACACTGGACCTTATGTCACATCTCATCTCAGTGGGGAGACTGGCTAAATACCAGAGTCCGTTGGAGTCAGGCGGGAGAATTTATAACAGACTATCAGTAGAGCCCGGCGTTGCCCGGGGATGTAACAGTGAGAGATAGATCAAGTATCGACCATCATAAAGACTGAAAAATAAAATTGACAAAGATTATTGTTTAAGGTTGACGGACACGCATGTCTTAATTATATTTTTTTTTTTTTTTTACGAATTGGTCAAACCCAAACTCAAACAAAAACATTGTTTTCAATCGTTATGGATCTACCGATTGAATAGAATTTTATTATAAACAATTGTCTTGTAAATGGAATTTTAAAGCATTCTGTATTTAAAAATAAAGAAAAAAAAAGACAATAAGAAACACTACCTGCCAAAAAAAAAAGTGAAGTTTTGTTGAAATCGGTTGAAAAATGTAGGAAATCCGATCCCATATATAAACGAACACTCACACACACACACACACACAAACAACCTGGGTTTTATAATAAGTATAACTCGATATGAGTTGTCCCCCTTTCGTTCGCGTGATGCCCCTTAATCGTGTTTTCAAATTGATTTCGTGCAAAAACAATTGTGTTTTTCCAATTTTTGGCGCTGTTAGAACCACCGCAAGGTAATCTTACGTAGTCCTGTGAAGTTTTGTTGAAATCGGATGAAAAATGTTGGAAATCCGATCCAATATATAAACGTACACACACACACACACACACACACACACACACACACACACACACAATCTGCATTTTATAATAAGTAAGATGATCTAACAAATCTTATTCATTTAGTAGCCTTTCTGTAATCTTTTACAATTTATGATTTTTACTTATTGAATACAGTAAAAATATTTGGACACCATGTGTATTTAAAGTAGTTTCCGTTTATTATTTTTAGTTAGGAGGACTTTTATATGTTTAGATTTCATCTGTTTACTTTTTGTGCATCGTTCTCTGAAAAAAAAACGCTGAATCACCGGAAGTTAACGTCATTCGGACGTTTGAGTAGCCGGCAGTAACTTCCGGCCGGGTGCGATACACTTAACCGAGCTTTCAAATTGGTTTTGTGCAAAAACAATTGTGTTTTTCCAATATTTGGCGCTGTTAGAACCACTACCAGGTAATTTTATGTAGTCCTGTGAAGTTTTGTTGAAATCGGTTGAAAAATGTAGGAAATCCGATCCAATATATAAACGTACAGACAGACAGACAGACACACACACACACACACACACACACACACAATCTGCGTTTTATAATAAGTAAGATTTAATGGCAAGTAGCCTAAGCAGTATCATCCACAGAGATTGAATAAATCTGCTCTTTTTTTTAAATTTATTAATGACTTGCATATTTTAAAATTGTTTATTATACGTTATTTTACTAGTGTGCATAAATGTTCCATAGTATTTAGTTTTTAAATACAAGTTTATTTTCATTAAATTAGTTTTACTCAGTTTATTTATTTACTATTTCAATAATATAATTCCTAAATTTATTCATAAATAAGAAATAAATTAAGCTTATTTTTTCATCGAATTGTTATTGGGGTTAACCCCTAAAAATAAGAGTAAATGTGGCCCATGGTTAAAAAAAGAAAATGTATAGAACAACTGCTTTAAATCTTTATTCATTTGCTTTTCTTTATTCATATAT